ACAGATTAACCTCTCTGGTTCCCTGTTGTAATTCCTTTGGTTTTGCATAGTCCTTAAGAGTTCATTTCCTAGGTTGGTATCTGGCTAGTACAATCCTGTATCCTGTATTCAGCCTGTGGTCTGATGTTTTTTGTTCTCACATCGAAGGACTCCCTTTAAAAAATCTTGTAAGTTTGGTTTGGTTTTTACATAGTCCCTTAATTTCTGTTCATCTGGAAATGACCTAATTTCACCGTCATATTTGAATGAGAGTTTTGCAGGATATATTATTCTTGGCTGGCAATTTTTTTCTCTCAAGGTTTTATATATGTCATCCCATTGCCTTCTTGCCTGCATGGTTTCTGCCAAATAATCCGATCTTAGTCTTATGGTTTCTCTTCTGTATGTGACTTTTTGTTTTCTTGAGCTGCTCTCAGGATTCTTTGTTTGTCTTTGGTTTTAGCAAGTGTGATTATGATATGCCTTGGTGATTTTCTTTTGGGGTCTATCCTATATGGGGTTCATTGAGCTTCTCGGATGGTCAGCTTTTCATCTTTCATGATGCTGGGGAAGTTTTCTGTCAGCAATTCTTCAATGATCCACTCTGTGTTTTCTGTTTTCTCCCCTTATTCTGGAATTCTGATCACTTGCAGATTTTTGCTTTTGATTGTATCTCACGTAATTCTCAGGTTTTCTTCATTTTTATTTGTTCTTTTTTCTGATTTTTCCTCAAACAGAGTTGTATCCAAGTGTTTGTCTTCACTTTCGCTGATCCTGTCTTCCATCGTTTCAAACCTGCTCCTCAGCCCTTCTATGACACTGTCCATTTCTGAAATCTTGTTGTTTATCTTTTGGATTTCTAATTGTTGTTTTTGTATGATTTCTAGTTGTGAATTTATTTTAGCATTTTATTCGTGTATTATTTCTTTGAGTTCTTTCATTTTTTTTGTCTGTATTTTGCATGGATTTGTCTGCCTTTTCCATTACTGTTATTTCCTCATTTTTGTCTGCTTTTTGCTTAAACTCTTGAATAATTCTGAATAGTAGAGATTTGAATTCCCTATCGGTTAGGTCTAGTGCCTTTTCTTCTACTGGAAGATCATCTGATTTTTGTAAATGTTTTGATATTTTCTGCTGTCTTCGGGCCACTCAGTGATTATTTTCCTCATTTACTGATTGTAGTTTTCTTTGTTTCATCCTGCTTTTTTGTATTATTTGGTTCTGTCTGAGCAGGCAGGCTGTGCGTTCTTCGTTGTTTGCTCATCTGTGGGCATGGTACTTTTCACCTCCTTCTCCAATGGGCAGGGTCAGTCACTCAGGTATGGTACAGCAGGGCAGGTCCAGCTGAAGGGGAGTTGCTGGGATGGGTTGTTTGTGGCACATACCAGGGCTGACAGTACAGACCAGGAATCAGTGCAGGGCAGGTTCCAGTAGGCTGTGCCTGTGGTGCTTGGGAGTGTGATGTTCAGAACATGGTGCAGGTAAGCAGGAAGGAGGGGGTAGATTGTGATGTGTGGAGCTAAGGTGGGTATGGGAAAGGTGAGAGAGAGGAGAGAGAAACAGGAGCCAAAAACATACACCCAAACAAAAAAGTGCTAAGGGATCTTGGTATTGGAGTGGAGAGATGAGAGACTGAGAAATGAGGAAAAACAAAAATGAAAAAAAAGAAAAAGGGTAAAAGAGAAAAATGAATAAATCAATAAACTGGAAATGAAGAAAGACAAAAAGAGTATAAGAGAGAGAAGAAAACAAAACAAAGAAACGGAAAAAAACCAAAAACAAAAAAAAAAAAGAAATGCCCCCAGGATGTCCCTGTGCATCTGCATAGAGTAAGGGAGTAGCTTCCAAGCCACGCAGTACTTCCTGGCTAGAAGGGGCTCCCAAGCGAAGAAAAGGAAAAGGAAACAAAGAAATCAAAACAGAACAAATCAGAGCAAACAAACAAACAGAAAATCCCCAGGGATCACACCAGCGTGGCAGCATGGGCTGGGAAGCAGTTTCACGGTCGAGTGGTGTTTTGTAGCCTTTCAGGAAGAAGCAAAGCTGGCTCATGGAGCCAGGTATTTGAGAGAAAGGAGGAGGTGGTGAAAGGTAAGGAAGAAATCTAAAGAAGTGGAAAAAAGCAACACCAGCAGCCAACAAAAGGCACTCAGTGAGTCAGCCACTGTCATTGGGTGGAATTTAAGTGACACCGGGGTGAAGCTGGTGCTTCCCGGCCAAGAGACTGTGGCTGTAGGAAGCAGAGGAGGCCGAGTGGTGCTGAAGAAGGGTAGGGGGTAGGAAAGCCTTTATCGCTGGTTATCAGTTGTTCTGTCTCCTGCTGGAAGCTCCATGAAGCTGCTTTCTCATACCCCCTGTTTGCTGATCTCCGATAGGAATCCAAGATGGCGGATCCATGCTGCGGTAGCTGATAGGGGACCTCTGCATCTATCTCTCCTGGCTTTCTGTTCTCGGTCAGTTTCTTATTCCAGTCGGTGCTTGGCTGAATTCTTTATCTCTTCATTTGATGCTTAGGGTTTCAGGATTGACGTGTGACTCTGTTTGACTTAGTTTTTCAGATCTTTGCTGCAGAGGGATGGTGTGGTGCCTCTGACTATAGCACCATGTTGCCTGGAAGTCCTGAATTTTATATTATGTGAATTATAGCTCAGGTTTTCAAAAGGGTTAATTTTATGGTCTGTGAATTATGTCTCATTTTTTATAAAAGTGAACAGACATTGAAGGCAAATCCTCTAGATTCATTTACTAGCTTGTGACCATAAGTAGTTTATTTAACCTTTTTGGGTCTAAGTTCCCTCATCCGTAAAATAAGGATAAGTGTAGTACCTACCTCATAGAGTTTTATGAGCTTTAAATGAGTTAATATATCTATAAAGCCCTTAGAACAGTGCTTCACACATTTTAAGTGCCAGTTAAGTATTAGCTATTTCATATAAAACTGATCCAAAGTCTCACGAACAATGTTTACCTTTTCTACCTACAATGCAGTCTTTTATTCTATTTTATTGGTTTTTAAAATGAGAGACAAAGAAATGCTGATCAAGACCCAGCCAGTTGATTTCACAACTCACTAGTGTCAGAAAAAAATATTCCACTGCTCCCTCAGCTAACTTGTGCTCGTCCTTCTGGGTTTAGCTTAAAGTTCCTTCCTCAGCAAAACCTTTCCTGATTCCCTTGGCTAGTTTAAGTTTCCCTATTGATACTCTCCTATCAGCAGCTTATACTTCTCTTTTGTAGCAGTCATCACGCTTGTAATGTTTTAATACCTGTCTTCCTCACTACATTATAAGCTTTGTGAGGGCAGGAATTTTGTCTGTTTATTTACTGCTGTATCCTTAGCATTTAGCAAAGTGCTTAACATGTAACAAGTGCTTAATACCTACTGTAAGTGTTGACTGATAGTTCAGGAGGAGCTGCAAAGAACAGGTGTCAGGAAGGTCTCAAGAAATGTAGCTGGAGTGCCTTGCTGGTGACTGAGTAACACCCTGCTAATGCTGCCTCTGCCCTCCTGAACTTAAAACTAGATAGGGTAATTCCCAGGAGACTTGAATTACATTTTATCCATAGGAAGAAAGACTTCACTGCTAACATAATTGCTAGTGTATGAATTAGAGACACCTGTTACTCTCTTGAGAGAAGACCTGGTGGTGCAGTGGTTAAGTGCTCGGCTGCAAACCAAAAGGTCAGTGGTTTGAACCCATCTTTCTGCAGGAGAAAGATGTGTCAGTCTGCTTCCATAAAGATTTACAGCCTTGGAAACCCTAGTGGGGGCAGTTCTGCTTTGTCCTTTAGGGTCGCTATGGGTCAGAATCCACTCGGTGGCAGTTGGTTTTTGTGGGTTTTGGTTACTCTCTGGACAACCTGTTAAATTGAGCTCTGGACCTTGCTGTGATATCCAAACCAAAAAACCCACTGCTATTGAGTCAATTCCAACTCGTAGCGACCCTAGAGGGTTTCCAAGGTTGTAAAGCTCTATGGAAGCAGATTGCCACATCTTTCTTCCGCAGAGCCACTGGGGGTTTCGAACCACAGACCTTTCGGTTAGCAGTTGATCGTTTCAACCACTGTGCTGCCAGGTTAGCGAATTAATGTAACTTGCATCACGGCTGCAGACTTTGCAGACATTTTGGTATTGCAGCACCTGGATTTGTTTCCTCAGTTTCTATCTGAGCAAAAGAGTTCTGCTCTTTGAAATGAGAGAAGTTTTGCAAGAGGCTATATCGCCTGTTTCTGCTTTTGTTTGATTTTGTGGGAAGGTGGCTGGAGCACAGGGAATGATTCTTGTCATTCTTCCAGCCTTTGAGCTAATGTTTTCATTTACTGCTTTGATAATGCTAAACTGGCAAGATCTAATACAGAAGCTATTTTGTAAACTGATCTTGTCACTAAGAAAAAAGTAATAAAAGTAGGCTCATTGCCTTTGATTAAATTTGTCAGTAAATTAAACCAATGTTTGTTTGTTTTTCTTTTTCTGAAATTAGAACATTTTCAAAGTATTGGGCATTGTATCCATTCTTTATCATAATGATATGATGTTTATTCACTAACAGAGCCTGTATTTGATAGAATGTCACAAATTCAAGGTTAGAGGAACAGGAAACTAGAACAACTCAATCAGTTTAAGAGAAGGCTAGCTACCAGTAATTCCACTATTTGTTCCTCAGCTTACTTTCTTCTCTTTTTCTCTCATTCCCTTTCTGTTTCTTCAGTCCATATTCTCCTTGCCTCACACTTAAACCACTTTCTACTCTGTGACGTCTATTATCTTTGAAAATTACGACTGAAATGTGTGGATTTTTTCCCCAAAATATGAGTACCCTGATCATGAGACTAAAGTGACCCAATCCCTGCTATAATGATTCCTGTGCAGCATGGGCCTTGGAAATGCTTACCTGTGCTGATGGTCACCAAAGTCTTTTTTAGGTCCTAGTTTGCTCAGTATTGAGACTTGTAATTGGTTTACTGGAGTTGTTTTAAAAATAGCAGTAATGAAAAGTGCTCTGTTTGAATTATTTCCACAGCTGGTATAAAGCTAATTACAGCATGGCTGAGAAGTTAGACTGGGGCCGAGGAATGGGCTGTGACTTTGTCAGGAAGAGCTGTAAATTCTGGATTGATCAGCAGAGACGAAAGTAAGAATGCATTCTTTACATTGTCTTTGATGACACAATTCATTTCTGATTTTATTCTTTATTCTGAGCCTAAAATGTCAACTGTTTTTTAAAATGTGGCCTGACTAGTTCAGTTAAACAATGTGTAGAAAACCATCTACAGGTGCTTGGTAATCATATCATAATAAGTAGTTGCAGTATTGTTTTTAATCACAAACTAAAGGAATCCACAATGCAGGTGTGAGTCATGAACATTTCCATTTAGTTTATAATTCATAAATATATTTATTTTGCAAAATGTTTGCATCTCTGTCATTCTTACTGTTTTCATCAGAGAGTGCACACATAAGCACAGACGCATCTGTTGATTCAGTATCAGAGAAATATAAAGGTACTTTTTGAATCGTGCTTCTCAAATATGGATGCATACCAGAATCACCTAGCAAGCTTTTTAAAAGTAGAGTATCCGATCACATGGTCTACTATGCCGGGAATGACAACTTGAAGAGAAATGGCATTGCATTCATCCTAAAAAAAAGTAAATTTCAAGATCTATCCTAAAGTACATTGCTGTCAGTGATAGGATAATATCCATACGCCTACAAAGAAGACCAGTTGATAAGACTATTATTCAAATTTACGTACCAATTACTGAGGCCAAAGATGAAGCAATTGAAGAATTTTACCAACTTCTGCAGTCTGAAGTTGATCGAACATGCAGTCAAGATGCACTGATAATTACTGGTGATTAGAACGCAAAAGTTGGAAACAAAGAAGAAGGATTGGTAGTTGGAAAATATGGCCCTGGAGATAGAAACAATACTGGAGATTGCATAATAGAATTTTGCAAGACTAGCGACTTCTTCATTGCAAATACCTTTTTTCACCAACATAAACAGCAAATATACACACGGACCTCACCAGATGGAATACACAGGAATCAAATCGACTATATCTGTGGAAAGAGACAATGGAAAAGTCAATATTGTAAGTCAGAACAAGGCCAGGGGCCGACTGTGGAACAGACCACCAATTACTCATATGCGAGCTCAAGCTGAAACTGAAGAAAATTAGAGCAAGTCCACGAGAGCCCAAGTATGACCTTGAGTATATGCCACCTGAATTTAGAGACCGTCTTAAGAATAGATTTGATGCACTGAACGCTAATGACCAAAGACCAGACGAGTTGTGGAATCGTATCAAGGACATCATACATGAAGAAAGCAAGAGGTCATTAAAAAGACAGGAGAGAAAGAAAAGAGCTAAACGGATGTCAGAAGAGACTCTGAAACTTACTCTTGAACGTTCAGTAGCTAAAGCAAAAGGAAAAAATGATGAAAGTAAAAGCTGAACAGAAGATTTCAAAGGGTGACTCAGGAAGACAAAGTAAAGTATTATGATGACATGTGCAAAGAGCTGGAGACAGAAAACCAAAAAAGAAGAACACACAGCATTTCTCAAGCTGAAAGAACTGAAGAAAAAATTCAAGCCTTGAGTTGCAATACTGAAGGATTGATTCTATGGGAAAAATATTAAACAACACAGGAAGCATCAAAAGAAGATGGAAGGAATATACAGAGTCACTAAGCTAAAAAGAATGGTCAATGTTCAGCCGTTTCAGGAGGTAACATATGATCAGGAACCGATGGTACTGAAGGAAGAAGTCCAAACTGCACTGAAGGCACTTGCAAAAAACAAGGCTCCGGGAATTGACAAAATATCAATTGAGATGTTTTCAACAAATGGACACAGCACTGGAAGTGCTCACTCATCTATGCCAAGAAATTTGGAAGACAGCTACCTGGCCAACTGACTGGAAGAGATCCATATTT